TCAACATTTAAATGAAATTATCTTCAAAAAGTAAATGTCATGAACCAATCTAACGTTTCAAATAAAGAACCGATGAGATTTTGCAAATTTTATGCGTTTTTTTTTTTAAAAAAGTTATCAAGCTCTTAAAAAATCACCCGGTACATATATAATATATCCATATATGTATATCTAGTTCTATAACTATGCTATATAAATTTTATAGGTTAAAATCAACTGTGAACTATATAATTATAATCTGAAGCAACATGTTACGAGAGTATTTGGCAATAATATAGTTTCTTTTAACTTTTCAGAATAGTTTTTGATAAGAAATTCTTTATATGGGCTGTGATAGGCGCATTGGTGGTAGTTGGCGTGATCCTTGGATTAGTATTCGGTTTAAAAAGTGAAAAACATATTGTTGCCGCGGTAGTTTCCAATGGAAAAGGTTGTGCCGATATAGGCAGGTATGTATACATCATAATATTTTACTGACATTTTTTACAAGGGCAATAAAATTCATTGTAGTCAAATGCTGAATGATGGTGGATCTGCTGTGGATGCGGCAATTGCAACGTTAATTTGTGAGGGTATCATTCTACCACACAGTATGGGGATTGGCGGGGGTTTCTTTGCTACAATATATACCAAGTCCACTCGTAAAATAGAGACTTTGGTAGCACGAGAGATGGCTCCTTCTCGATCTCGAAAAGACATGTTTGTTGGGGAACAAAATATTCAAGGTTAGCAAAAGTTAACAGATAATATTGGGGTAGATGTCTTGTTTTATTCGGGATTTGTGAGATATACAATAAATTTTTATCTCTTAGTTAATAGTATGAACCCTACAGTTGAATTCTTTAATTGTATATTAACTTAATTTTACGTTTATATATTTACTTTTATTAATTGTTATAGAATTCTTAGAACTTTTCAATCTTACCGTTAAATTGGGATCGAATATTTTCTATTTGAACTGGAATGAAGTAGTTTATTTGTAATGTATGTATGTTCAAGAAATATATTGGGACAATGCCACATAAATCCTAATTGCTTACTATAAATGGACGCTGTTACATTTTACGTTTTTATTTCTATTATCTTTTTAAAGCAATTTACTTATCTACAAATTTGCAATACTAATGTCCTCAAGTACATAGAAACAATTAACAGACATAATCAGCCCTATCACGCAATCCATCGTACACTGCGAACCCTTCCGAACGTAAGTTCAAAATCTGGTAGAGTGGCAGTTAACGGATCCATATTTTGTTCGTAAATTCATTTTGAATGTAAACGATTTCAGTTTTATTTATCAGAATTTAAATTTTTTGTTCTACCCAGCTTATTTCGAAATGTCTAAATTCAAAATTAATTCTGATAACAAAAGTTTCGAATTCACATGCATTCAGTGAAAGCAAATTATGCGTATTCGTAGCGGACATTCGTATACGTAGCTTTGCTACGATGGATTGCTTGATAGGGCTGAATACTTACAAGCAGATAAGTGAGTAAAAATACAACATTTAGGGTAGAACAAAATCTTGCGAAAGTTTCTTCTTATCGTTGCAACGAAATATTTTTTATACAAAGGTGCTCGTGCTGGTGCTGTTCCTGGGGAAATACTGGGATATTGGGAAATGCACAAAAAATACGGTCGCCTTCCATGGAAAGTTCTATTTCAACCGACCATAAAATTATGTAAAGAAGGTCATTGGGTTTCTAAATACCTTGCTGCGGCTATTCAATCTAAGCTGACCGAAATTCGCAATGAACCTTCATTGTCGGAAATTTTTCTGAAGGAGGATGGTACACCGTTTGTGGAAGGAGATTATATGAAGCGAACTCAATTGGGTATTACACTAGGGAAAATTGCTGACAATGGTGCCGGAGAGCTTTACGATGGCGGTGAAGTCGGCAAATTGTTCATAGAAGATATTCAAAAGCTAGGTGGAATTATTACCGAAGATGATTTGAAAAATTACAAGTATGTTTCTATATAGCAACTTATCTGTTTAATTAAATTAAAGTTAAATTTATTGTGTATCTTTAATTAGAGTACGTTGGGAGGACACTAACCACATTATAGCAAATGTAACAGGTGGATATACCCTTTACACCACACCTCTTCCATCTAGTGGCGCTGTACTTGCATTTATGCTAAATGTTTTGACTGATTCACATACCGATAATGAAGAAATTTACTGGCAACGCGTGGTTGAAACATTCAAGCATGCCTATGGTCAACGCACAAATTTGGGTGATATGGAAAATGAACCCGACCTAAAGCAAACAATTGAAGAAACATTTTCTAATTTAATTAGCCAAGAGTTTGCAGATCATATACGAACATTAATTTTTGACAATAAGACATTTAATTATTACGAATATTATGGTGCAAACTTCACCCATGTAGAAGATCACGGTACTGCAAATATGGCTGTATTAGCTGCGAATGGGGATGCTATAACTGTTACCAGTACAATAAACAATTAGTGAGTGAAAACATTATTGATAAAAATTATTAATTTGCTTGTTGCCTACATTGTAGCTTTGGTGCTAAGGTTCGATCGCGTCGCACTGGTATTATTCTTAACGATGAAATGGACGACTTTTCCACGCCGGGTATAGTCAATGGTTTCGGAATACCGGCCTCCCCTGCCAATTATATACATCCCGGAAAAATGCCCATGTCTTCCATGTGTCCGGCAATTATACTTGATCAAAATGGCAATGTACGAATGATGGTTGGAGCAGCTGGCGGTAGCAAAATAACCACTTCAGTTGCAACGGTATTTATAATTTATTTTACATGCTTCATGTACCGTAAAAGAATGTGTACATTTATTTCTAATTTTGTTCATACAAGAATGTTTATATACATACGTACGGTTTTTCGTTTCAAAATATTATGAAGATTATTATTATGCGCTTATGGTAGCGTTTCTTCAAATCAGTGAAACAATTCTTAAACTTGATTTTTGTAGTAACTTTAAGCTCCTTCGGCAATGCGCTTTTAATGCCACCGATTTAACAATAATGAGGAAATCAATAAGACCTATTATTTAAACAAGTAAGAAAGGGCTAAGTTCGGGTGTCACCGAACATTTTATACTCTCGCATGATAAAGTGATAATCGAGATTTCAGGCGTGCTTGTGAACCGATTTCACCCATATTTGGTACATGTCATCAGGGTGTTAAGGAAATATTATATRCCGAATTTCATTGAAATCGGTCGAGTACTTCCTGAGATATGGTTTTTAGTCCATAAGTGGGCGACGCCACTCCCATTTTCAATTTTTAAAAAAAGCCTGGATGCAGCTTCCTTCTAACATTTCTTCCGTAAAATTTGGTGTTTCTGACGTTTTTTGTTAGTCGGTTAACGCACTTTTAGTGATTTTCAACATAACCTTTGTATGGGAGGTGGGCGTGGTTATTATGCGATTTCTTC